TCAGCAGGTCAGTATAGCAGGAACTGGACTCAAGGCACATTTGTTGTGGTCAGCACCTTCCTCTTGTGATGGCAGAATGTAAACAGCAACTAAATCTATGGTACGTGAGGAAGGTAAACCTTGGCAGGCAATAAAATCACTCCTAGAGCACTGGCCTTGGGTTTAAGGCCTGGGATTCACTTAAAAGTCCAAGGTTTAGCTGCTACCTCCAATTTGGGCTCTCCTGCGTGAACCACACAGCCTCTAGTGTGTCCAGTAGAGTGACAGGCATTGTAAATAGGGATGCACCATACAATGCATGGCCTGATGTGACGGGACCTGTGTTACCCAGGATGATCACCTCCTTTTATGCCGTTAACTGATCTGCTGGGTCCTGATTTGATGGCTATCTGGTGAGACTGGTTTCACTCAGTACCCTGGAACCAGAAGGGAGAGTTAGGAGCTCATCAGTTGCTCGCTTGCTGGCTGACCTATTTTGTAGCTGTGGCTCTATATGGGAGATACACAGTCAAAAAGCTTTGCCTTTGTTTCTCTATACATAAAAGTTGCTATAACGATATTTCAGGTGAAATCTAATGTCTTCCAAATGTTTGAAAGTGCTTTGAAGGGGAAAAGTGTAAAAGCTTTGAATGAAAAGCAGATTATGCTGCAAGTGCTTTGATTTTTAGCAGAAACCAACAGGTGTTGCTGTGGGAAAGATGCCTCCCAGGCTGCGTTCTCCCACCTCTCTAGACTTGCATGGGAAAAAGTCACCTGCAGACATTGCTGCTGTTCCACTGAGTCTGGAGACCTTGAAGGAAATTGCTGCCAACACCAAAAGCATCTCCCTCATTGCAGCCAGTTGCCGTTTCAGAGCCCAACACAGAGACCTTGGGAGCGAAGTCTCCTCAGCCCGCTTCTCTGAGGAGGATATGCTTGAGCTGAGCTATCTAGAGGCCAATTCCACCCCAGACTGTCAGACGAGAGACAGTGCAAGTATTGGGAGTTTGCTGTCAGAGCCCGCAGCTGGGAGCCAGCTGTGCTCCCCAGCCAGGGGAGTGCTGAAGAACAGGAGGGATGTGGTGATGTCTGCTGAGAGGACAGCCAGAAAGAAAAGATCTTACTCTCTTGAACCAAACTTCCACAGGGTAGGTCCTTTGTGTTTCTTTCTAATGGGGGTGGGTGGAGCTAGAGTGGTTTTTAAATACAGTAAGAGAAACAGTACAAACTGCATGAAGAAATAAGTTAAATATCTTTATTCTTCTGTAATGCCCTTGACCTCCTGCCTAAACAGCAACCTAAGCCAGTCAGGTGGGAAGGGGAATCTTTTGTACAATGTGGCAACAATCAGAGGTGAGAGACATCACCAGAGGTTTACTCAACTCGGTGTCTTTCAGATCTCAAAAGCTAAGCATTGGACTCCCTCAAGCCCCAATACAGACAAAGCTTGTGAGAACCACCTGCGCCGAGATAGACTCTTGCATCAGTCAAAAGCTGCGAGTAGCATATCCATTGCCACGAAGGTCAAGGTTCCTATCGGCCACCATTCAGGTAGGGACCAAAGAGCCGCTGGTGACATCCTGCATCAGCTCTGTTGGAAAAGATGGATTGTCATGTGAGAAATAAGCCAGAGTAAAGGCTAATGATCAGAACTATTAGTAATCTGATCTTAATTTTTTTTTTATATGGTCTAAGTAGCTTTTGATGGGTAAGAAAGCATATCCTTTGTAGACCACTGCCTCAACTATGCCTCTGTAACCTAGGGGGAAGAATTAGTGTTCAGCTGGGTTCACGTGCAACAAGTTGCTGATCACAGTGTAGCCATTCAGAGTTTCACATCCAAACCAAGCCTCAGCAAGGAGACCAAGACATGACAGGCTGCACTGACCATCTGTCAGCTTCAGTTGTTTTGCTTTGTGCAGACACACAAGGCCAGGATTAGTTTAGGAGAACTGGATACCCAAATCCTATTGAAATGTAACCAGAATCCTTCCTCAGTCTGTCAAGGGGTACTTACTGATGCTAATTAGTTTTTCTTACTCTTTTTTCTAACTTAAAAATGGTTAACTTTTGATTTACAACACTATAATTTATTTTGGCTAGCTGTTAGTGACTCATGCATTGCAAAATGTTTGTAAACTGTGCTCTATTCCCACTGATTATAATGAAGCTCTCCCTGCCTTTGGTAGAGGGGACTCCACTAGAGGTGCTGCCAAAAGGCAATGCTCCTGCAAGCACCATCCGGCAGAGCAACGCTGATCGCGTCAAAGGACAGGCCCTACAGAAGAAAGACAAGGGTGAGTACATGAAATACCAGGTTGGCGGGCTCAGGAAGCACTACTATATTCTTCAGTACTTGCTCTGTTGCAATCTGAACCTAAAGAGCTGTAAATGCAACACAAACGGTCCAGTTGGGAAAGCGGTCACATGGGTAGGGGTTTTACAGCCAAGTTTTTAAGTTGGTTTGGTTTGGTTTGGTTTTTTTTGCAACAGATGACATGGGCAATGTTCCAGAATGAGTTACACTCCGTCTCCCTCTTAGCCAAAAATAATCTCTTAGAAAGAGAAAATAACATTTTCAGAGGTGTTCATAATCCTAGTCTAATCCATATGTGAAGTATGAAGTTTAATCTGAGTTAGCCATGTGACAACATACTGCTATCACTGAGGGTGTCACCTCGGGATTTTCTTAAGGCAACGATGTGCAGATCCTAGTGCCTTTGCCAAACGCTCCCATCCACAGCCCGTGGCAATCTGTCTCTTCCCCATTTTGACTGGCAATGAGACTCAAATCGAAGTGTGAGAAACTTGACTGAGTACTTCATCTTCCCTCACTTGCAGGGCCTGCAGATGGTGCCAGCAGTCGGCAAAAGCAGCAGCCAGTTGCCTGCTTGGGGAACCAGCGGAAGACTAAATAGAAGTCACCGGGAGAGCAGGACTCGCTATGGCCCCAAGGGATTGCCATTTTGAGACCACTGGAAGTCAGGGAAGTGGGTGCAGGGGGAGTGTGCCTTAAAATACATTTTAGTTTCTGTGTTGTGATGCAGAAAAGCAGAGGGAAGGCTAGCAGGGGGAGAGGGACCTTATACCTTGTAGATTACTTTTTTTCCATATCCCTACTACAAGTCTTTCTCCTCTGTACTGTACTGAAGCTGTTAGCTTCAGTTTAAGACAAATAGGGTGTTAATAGAGTCCAAGAGAAGAGGAAAACCTAATTTTCCCAGCAGTCTTCTCCTCCCAGAAAATGTCAGCATGGAGCCTGAGCCGCCTTTTTTCCTGGGGCAAAAGTGTGGATGCCACCCATGTATCCAAAAGGCTCCCTAACTATTAAAACCAAATGTAAATGCCTGAGAAATAGTTTCCCCTTTCTTCCCTGCTGTCCCTGCGTGTTGCTGTGAAGCTGGGAGGTGTAACGCACGCCTGGAATGCTGTTTGGGTGAGCAGATGTTTGGCTGTGAGAGCAGCTAGTGATTGCTCTAAGCTCTTTCCCATCTACACAGCATTTCAGAACTGACTGCAGCTGGGAGAAGCAGCATGGTGAATAGGTGAAGACCCTGATAAGAGCTAGCCCGGAGGTAAACTGCGGGAATGGGGTTTTCTTCTTGGAACAAATGTCTTCAGCCAGCAGCTTTTTCCATAAGGGGCTTTTTAAAAGTATTTTCCCTGCTTTTTAAATATACTGCAAATAAATTGGTTCATACCACTGAATAAATAGTGACTCTATGCCCCAGACAGGAGTGGCTTCCCTCCTAGGTCTGCTGAAGTACCTAAGATGACAGTCTCAGGTGGGTTCATGCATTTTTCAATGGATGAAGAACCTTTTTTACAGCTGCAGCACTCGCAAAGAATTCTCCTATGTGCTCCTTCTGACTTGCTGTGTGACACCAAGCACGCTGCCTGTCCCTCTGTGCCTCTTGCTTTGTCACCTGTCAAGAAGATGAGGAATAGCTCACGCCAGGGATGAGAAAGCTTGAACTACTTGCATTTATAAAATGTGTTTTAAACCCCTGAAGTGGGGATGCAATACAAGCATGTAATCTGGCATAAGCAAGTGGCTGATTTTCCTTATGAAACAGAATGATGCAGGAAGAGGTGCGACTGTGAAGTAGGAAGGTTAGGAAAACTTGTTCCCTGGGCCTGACTCTTCACATAAACAAAAACACAAAAAAAGGACACACAGATAAAATAAGCGCAGACTGCGTGTAAAACAAACCTGTGCCAGCAGGTCTTGAGCCAAGTCTCTGTTTACAAGACCTCACGTGGCCCTTGAAGGACCAAAAGTGAGGGAAAGTGGAGTTTTCCAAGCATGTGCATCTCCACTAAATACCTCTGGGCTGAATCACCATGAAGAGTTGCAGTATTCCGAGCTATTTCAAACAAAAAGTGGGACATTTAAGCCAAATGCATCAGTTTGAAGTTGTATCTCTGAAGGGATGTTGCGTAACAAAGAGTTTGATGATTTGCCGTGACTGTTGTGAAGATGATGTGCTGAGTTCCCTGTTTTTAAAACCTACATTTTAAGTCTGTTAAAAATTGGGGATTGAGATCTCGGAGGTAGAATCTGTAATAACACTTGCAGCTTTAAGAATTGCTGCAACTGAGCTGCAGCCCCTCTCCTGTGCAAAGCAGGATGATGCTTGGTTGCAATGCTGGGCTAATGGCTTTTTCATTTGATTCTTGATCGCGCATGGTAAGAGTAGCAAAGGGAGCTTAAACTCTTCTGGGCTTTTCAAGCAGCACTTTCTAGCCTTGCTCTATCCAGGTATCTATACTTTGCTCCTAATAAAGACTGCTGGGCTAGAACCCAAAAGGCTGCGCTTCCTTCCACAGAACAGTGCGAAACTGGTTATATCTAAATGTGAGCTCTGGCAAGCAGCGATGTCGCGCCTTGGGATGCTATGTTCATCTCTGGACGAGGACTGCTGCCACCGCATCCGTTGCTGGCTTTTCCTATTCCCCATCCTGTCCCTGGGGCAGGGCAGGTGCTGGACGAGGGTTTCGTAACTCTGCAGCCCCTGAGCCCCCGGTCCGCAGGGACATTAAATACCCACAAAGGGTGACGGTGTGGCACGAGTCCTCCCTGCAACCTGTAACCAATCTGAAAAGGAGTTTTAGGTTAAACTTTCCCCGTGGAATTGCTCGAAGGGGGGGTTGGCAGCGCAGCCCCATTTCGGAGCGCTCTGAGAAGACGAGGCGTCTCGTCGGCGTGTGCTACCCCTGGTTTTCTACAGCGGTCTCGGCCTCGCTCCGGCTGTGGGAAGGCGCCGGTGGCTGCTGTCCCCCGGTGCCAGGGGCGGCCCCTCCGCTCCCGGCCTGGCCTACGGGCCCTTCCCGCAGGCCGACGGCACCCGAGCCC